GGGAACCGCCTCTATAGTGGCTTGCAGGGATGACGTGGGAACGCATTGCGTACATACCACTTGGTATACATACCACTTGGTATGTATGTACAGTGTTCTTAGCTTTTTTCGGTAAAGTCACGTAGGTAAAACATTACAATTAATAAAAGTAAAATAAAATAAAAATAAAAGTCACGACGTTTCGGAGGCAACACAAGTCTCCGTCATCAGGTGGGACCGTCACAGCCAGATTTGCTGCATCAAGTGAGGCAATGATTCAAGATGTAATCCCTTAAAAGTAAGTTGATGAGCTCCCCCCCCCCTCTCCTCCCCCCTCAACTTACTTTTGATTTTTATTTTATTTTACTTTTATTAATTTTAATGTTTTACCTACGTGACTTTACTGAAAGAACCTAAGAATATGAATCCTTGCAGTCACGAAAGCTTCAAATCTAGAATTATGTACAGTGTGTTGGTGCAGATACCACTCTGCCACCGATATTAGCCGTGGGCCGGTGGTCGAACCCAGGCTGTGCCGAGTTCAAAGCCCGGTGCGCTTTCGACCCCGGTGAACCCATTACTTACAACGTATGCGGATATAGAAAAAAAACAACAACAGCAACCACCACAGCTGCTTACTCGCGATGCAAAGCTCTGTGTCGCGAGCTTAATAATCAGCCGATGGAATTGGTTCGTCGTTGGGCTCTTGGCATTATCCCCACATCGGCCGCGTAACGCTGCGCGGCAAGCTGCTTAACGTGTCGTCGCTCCACTACCCGCACAGCTCCGAATCTCCTTGGCCACGCTCCCTCCCGTTGTCTGCTTGAGAAACGTGGCCGAATGTTCACCCTCCTCCTGCACCAGGTGCCCTGTTGTTTTAAGTCGACCTGGCACCCGGTTCGGTTACCGACGTTGGCCGTGAGCGGGAAATTCCCGGCCCGTGTCGCCGGGTTTGTAGCGCAGTCCCGAATAACCGCTGCGCTACCGATACCCACCCTAAAGACAAAGATCCCCCGTATAGCCTTAACAGACTGTAGGGGCAAGTGCTGTTAGCGAGCACCTATGAAGGCCGGAACGGTACACGAGGGGGTGGGTGGCCAGCACCACGCCCGACCGCCTTTGTCTCCCCAGTGGCGATGTTTACACACCGCACCAGGTACTCATTTGAGGCTGAGTCGACCTAGGGGAGGCCCATAAACAGTTCAGTTAATCATCGCTGGTGTTGGCAGTGAGCGGGAATCGAACCCGTGTCGCCGGGTTCATAGCGCAGCGCGCTAACCGCTACACTATCGCTTACACAGACACACACACAGACACACACGTGTGCACACGCACCATTTGCTGACCAAGCCACGCACCCTCGTGATTGGCGCTCTCCCCCCCATCCTAATTGGCGTGCAGAGCGTCGCGCCAAGCGGGGGTTAAGGCTGCCCCCCCCTCCCCAACCCACCCGCCACCGCGGCAGCGAAGCCTCTGCGGCGATTGCGGAGGCAGAGCACGCGCGGCTCGAATGCCGCTGCCCTTGCGCCGTCACGTGCCGCCGGCACCTCCACAACCCCGGCGTCACGCCGCGCTCGGCCGCTGCGGCGTCGGCGAGGCAGGAGGGTCGGTATGGGCGGTCGCCGTCGATTCCCCCGAGCGCGTCACGCCGCGCCGTAGCCGTTGACGGTCGCGCTTGGGTTTTCGATGGAGGCCGCCCTCCCCCCTGCGCCGCGGCGTGCATCGTCGCATCTCGCCTCGACGCGTTTGAAAGGGCACCCCCAGCGACAGCTGTCCCCACATGGCGCGAGGCAGCACGTCGGCACCTGGCCCCCGCGAGGGGGCATCGGTCTCCCGCCAGCCGGTGGGGCGACGATTGCCGCCGCGTGGCCTGAGCCGGGGCCTAGCCCGGGGCCTAGCCTGGGGCACCCCCAGCGGCCGCGGTTCCTCTGCAGCACGAGGCGGCACGTCGGCGCCAGGCCTGTGAGAGGGCACGACGGAGTCGTTTTCCGAGTGACCATGACGCCAACACACAATGGCCTACTGCGTGGCAGACGTGGCATGTTACGGTTAACACGACGCAACCGCAGTGATCGCCGGGGCTGCCCGCCGAAGTGGAACCGCGAACCTCGGCAACAAACGACGAGCGGCCCAAGTGATCGGCGCTGTAAACCCTGGCAGCCCGAGTTCCATTCCCGGTCACAACTGTGACATCGCATTCCCTCGGTTGACTCGGCCGTAAAATAAGTACCCTGGTGCGGTGTGTAAAGCCAAAGCACTGGGGAGACAAAGGCGGCCGGGTGTGGTGTTGCCCTCCGACCCCGTCGTGCGCTGTGCTGGCCTTCATAGGTGCCCGCTAACAGCACTTGCCCCAACAATCGGTTGAAGGTTACCCCGGGGGGTCTTTGTCTTTGTAGTGCTGCGAGTGTGCAGACTTGCACGAGCTGTGCTCTATGTGGAGGATTGTGTGCGTGGCATTGCGAATTCGGTGCTGTGTGCGTAACGCAGCAGCGCACGATGTTACATTGTGTTACACGTGTTCATTGCTGTCTGTACAACACTGTCGAGGCGACACGGGGGGGATTTTTTTCTTTGTACAACAATGCTGCATCTGCCAGTAATCTCAGTCGGCAGCAAGCCCTTCGACATTTCACATGGCCTCAAAGTGCACCGAGCCTGGCACGAGCACGGCTGGCGACGTCGCCTCCACTTGGTGGCGAACGGCGCCCGTCGTTGTACGGCACCGCGCGTTGCAGTGTGTGCCGTCGGTGCCATGCGTTTGTGTGCAAGGAGCCGTGTGGGGAAACCGCGTGTGTGTGAGTGCGAAAAGAGCTATGTGGGGAAGCCTTGTGAGTGCGCGTGCGTGCATGAGTGCGCGTGAGTGTGTGCGTGCGTGCGAGTGTGTGCGTGCGTGCGTGCTGAGTGTGTGTGCGTGCGTGTAAGGGGTCCCACTGGGGAGACGAAGGCGGCTCGGACGTTGTGCTTTCCCCGCATCTCTACCCTGAGTGATGGTGATGACCAAAATGGGCGGTCGCTCACGGCGCGTAACCCCCCCCTCCGCCCCCCAAACAGTCAGCGATAGGCAGACACGGCGGGGGGGGGAGGGGGTGGAGGACGCTGCACCGTGCCACCCAAGCCGGCGGATGAAACGCCGCGAGTGTCGACATCGGCGAATGCGAAGTGGCCGCCGCGTTGGGTTCCGGCTGAGAGGCGTTGCGCCCATCCGCGTCGTGCGGCCGCGTCGTCTGTCCGTGCCGCGAGTGGGGAGGCTCCCCCTCTTCCCCCCCAGCCGTCCGTGCTGTGTCGGCTGCCTACACAGCACGGAACAGTGCGAATGAAGAGCACTCCTCGGGCTGCGGTGCCCCCTCCCCCCACCCCCGCCTGCTGCACGCAGGCACCCTGCCCTTTCCTCCCAACTGTTCGACCGGTCAGCCATCTGCGTAACCACCCAGTCGCTCGGCAGTTTGGCCATCGACCCAGCCACCTACATAGACACCATCACCTATATACGCCTCTATCCAGCCACACAGCCTCCTGTGTATAAATCTTCCCAGCAATCTATATAGCCGGTCTACCCAGACACCCAGCCATCTACTGAGCCACCGAGCCACGTAACCCACCTAGAGAGCCATCTGCCCCCGCCACTCTCTGAAATCAACACTCCCAATTATTTTTTGTTCTAGCGTCGTAAGAATCGGTCGCCTTCAATACGCCTCCGTGTGTAAATCTGCGCGGGGTTTTCACCGTCACGTTGATCTGCTGCCGGCACGGCGCGGTAACGGAACCACCCTTCCCGCCATCGTCTGTCTGCCTTCATGGGTGGATAAAAGCCCGATTTTTCCAGCGGCAGGCATCGGGTTTTTTCTTTAATACAATTAAACCCGATTTCGGGAAATTAAAACCTGGTTTAATGAATACGAAACTCTGATAGGCTTAGGCTGCTTCCTCGTCGGTGCTGCTATCGTACTCGGGGGGGGCTGTCGGGCACGGGGTAGTCGTAGAATGCGGCGGGCAGGTTGGTCGTGATGAACACGAACTTCTCCACAGTCGTGGACGCCAGTGAGTTCCTTAGCTTGGAATGGATGAAGCCCATCGTTGAGAAGTTGGCGAAGTGCGGTTCTGCAATTAGAAGCAATTAAACCGTATTTCTCCCAATTTCAGATGATCGGGTTTCATATAAAAAGACAATCAAACCCAATTGTAAAAAAAAACCCGACTGTGCCACCCTTGGTCTCCCTTACACCACGTTACGGCGCGGACGCCGGAATCCATTGGGGGACACTCGCACGCGCCGCACTCCCTCCATCGACCGTGCGGCCCACCCGACGACACCGTCGACAAATTCTGCTCCGCACGGCCCACGCAAGCTCGGGCCGTCACGTTGCCCTCCGTCGGTGCCTTCCCGGTTGCCCTCTGAAGGCGAGCGAGCGGTCCGATTTCCCCTTTGAGCTTGGCTTCAGCGCGGCCAAATTCTGATCGCTTGGCCCCGGCGACAGTTCGACGGCCAAACGGCCGCCCTCGAAAAAAAATTGGCGCAGTTCATCAGTGTTCTCGCCGAGATTGGCTCGGTCACGGGAGACCGCCCACTCACTCCGGGCGTTGACATTTCCTCGACCGGTTAGATCTGTGGGTCCCCCGGGATCGCCCCCCCCCCCCCCCCCCACATCTCACTTGAATAAGCCGCCGCGCCACAAATGACTTAATATATTTTTATCAGAAGTTCCCCGAGTGGCATTGGTCACCCTAACGAGCGTCTAAATGACCCATCGATCGCGCGCGTGCGAGCGCCTCGTGGAGAGATAGCGCAACGGCTGCCCCCCCCCCCACCGAATGTGACGGGGGGGGGGGGTACGGGGGGGTGGGGGGTGGGGGTGTCTCTCTCCTTTGCGACGTCTCTCTCTATTACTCTCGCGCTGTCGTCGCATTGGGCGAAGATTTTATCGGCGGCGATGGATGAACTCGACCGCCCGTCCCCTGACCCCCCCCCCCTTCTTACCCCGTGATTGTGTTTATCCGCCCCCCGCTCACCCCCCTCGATCCAGATCGCACGCAAGCGGGGCAAGGCCAAGGGGGGGTTCAAGAGCCCCCACTCGACCCACGCGCGCCCCTCGCTCAAGCACGTGCTGCTCATGCCGCTCTCGCAGGTCAAGAAAGTGATGGACATCTACGAGACGGACGGTGAGTGCCACTCCAGCTCGCCACCACGTGTCACCGTGTGCCGCAGTGGCTTGGTGTGCTGTGTGTGCAGCAATGTGTTAGGGGTGTGTGGCTGTGCGCGTGCGTGTGTGTAAGAGGTGTGTGTGTGTGTGTGGAGTGGTGGTGAAGTGGTTCGTTCACTGGACTTCAAACCCGGCAACGCGAGCTCCAATCCCACTCACGATAAAATAACACTGGGCCCTCCCCAGTATGTATGTTAAACTTCTTTCGCACCGTTCCCTAGGTCGACTCGGCCTCAAATGAGTACCTGGTGCGGTGTGTAAACATCGCCACTGGGGAGACAAAGGTGGCCGGGCGTGGTGTTGGCCACTCACTCCCTCGTGTGCCGTGCCGGCCTTTATAGGTGCTACTGGCTAACAGCACTTGCCCTAACAGTCTGTTGAGGCTACACGGGGGATCTTTGTCTTTTTGTGTGTGTGATGACCTATGCGGGTGAGCTGTGTGTGTTTGGGCTTGCAGGAGAACTTGTCGGTTTGTGTGTGTGTGTGTGCAAGCGGCCGTGCTGGCAATTGCGTGCGTGCGTTCAGGGGCATGTGGGCGAGTCCGTGGGTGTGCGCGTCCATCTGTCTGTCTCCCGGCCACCCCGCCCCCGCGTCCCCCGTCTCCTGACATCTCGCTATCGAACGAGATAAATGAGCACGGCCCCGATCCTCCTCTCGCCCCCACCCCCTTCCTCCTCCGCGTCCCTCGCCACTGGCGGGCGGGCGGCGACGTCCCACGCTCCTCCGCCGTCAAACGCGGCGACGTTAACCCCGACGTTAACCCCGACGCCGCTGCCGCCGCCGCATCCCACGGCGAGCGCCGGGTCGCGCCGCCTTCACCCGCCGATGCGAAGGTCGCCGGCGCGCGGCAATTTGCGAAAGATTACCGTTTAATCTCCCGGGGTGGCGGCGCGGTGGCCCCGGTGTGAAATTGTTGAGGGGTGGCAGCGGTGGGAGGGGGCTTGGGTGGTGCTCCGGGGAGTTGGGGGGGTACGGGAGGTGAGGCTGGGGTGGGGGGGGGTTGTTGTTGTGGCGGTGGCGGTTTTCGCACGGGGAGGAGGTGGAATCGAACGCTGGGTTGCTGGCTGCGCTCCGATGCAGTTGGGACACTGGGCGCCAATTCTTCTTCTTCTGACGCACAGCCGTATCGCGAAGGGAAGGCGCTGCAGCGTTGCACAGACGGGTGTTGCCTGCCGGCAGGGAGCAGCGTCGCTGTGCGTGGCGCCGGAGAACGCCACGCGCAGTCCAGACACGTCGCGGTGCCTGTCGGGAGTGGAAGGGTGACGGCCGGCGGTCGAACCTCACGTGGGAACGGTGGGGGGGGACGGAAGGGTGGGGGGGGGAGGGGCGAAACGCTCCTGAGGGGACGTCGGCCTCGGAGAGACGGAGCGATTAAATCGGCCCGTGCGTCGCGGGGAGCTGCACGGATTGCCGCGTCGCTCGACCGCGAGACGTGGCGACGGCTTGACAGCGGGTCGGGGAGGGCTTGGTGGGCGGCCTTCATCCAGCAGTCGATAGATCAGGTCCGGTTAAGATGACGAATCGCGGGCGATACCTTCTGTCGCGCGCCCCTGCGCGTGGATTTTAAAATCCATCGTCCCTCGAGCGAGCGGCGCGCGCGGATCGGTTTTGATTCGACGAATCGAATTCGTGGGGGAAGGTCCGCAGTGTTCCTAAATCGGCGTTCCAAAAATCCCCGGCCTCACACACCTCACCACCCCCCCCCCCCCCACCGCGTGCCAAGGCTCCCTATTCAGGGGCCCACAGCAGCGCCGTCGATTACATGTTATTCTTTTTGGCGTGCCGGGCGCGGAACGCGCATTTATATATTTATTTCAACTAATCGAAACTTAGCGCGTCCTTGCGGGGGGGGGGGGGGGGCGGCCGGAGGGTCGGCGGCGTTGGTGGCGGCGTTGGCGGGGCCCGGATTAACGAGCGCGCCGCGGTTACGACACATCGACATGCGGCGCACGGTGCCGCTCGCTCGCCCGCCGGCGTCCGGCGGAGTAAAGCGCTGACGCGGCCGTCTGGGCAATCGAGGAACTGTCGCTCGTGCGGCGCGAGAACACTCCGCCGCCGCCGAGGCTGGCAGCGCAATTCCCTGACGCGGCGCAGCAAGCGCTTGCAGGGCGCTTCGAAAAAACGTGAACGCTTGGGAGAATTTGCAACAACTGCACGAGAAATGTGCCTCTGGGCTCTGCAGACCACCTGGAGAAGAGTCCAGGGCATGTGTTGACAATGATGGCGATCAAGCGGGAGCCTCTGACTTTGTGAAGCTATTAACATACATTTGTTATGTTACAGCGAACTATCCATTCTTCTACAATTTAAAACGATCGTCCCATATTAGTGTTTTTTTGAAGCGCCCTGTATTTATTTAACTCCGCTCGCGACTCGTGCGAGAGGAGGGTTCTGCCGGGCTCCACGGCCCCCCCCACCCCGCTGCTGTGCGCGGTAGAAAACATTTCAGGTGATTTTTTTGAAAAATCTTTTCAGCAGCGGGATTCATGGCGACGAATTACCGGTTCAAAATTGCATCTTTTTTTGTTTTGTTTTGGCTACACCGGGGTAAAGCGGAGAACCCGTTGTAAAGGCGCGTCCGAGTAGGGAATCGAACCCCGGCCCCTCCCTGGTGTGGGGCGCCAGGGTTAGCGCTGCGCCCACCCCCTACCCTCCAATTTATTATTGGCTCTGCGGGTCCCGGTTCCTGCAGTGAACGCGACACGCAGGCTGTTTGTGGATGTGATTGGACTAACAGACGAGGTCTGGCTGGTGTGCGTGGAGCTTGAATGCCGTTGCGGTGTGTGGGGGGGGGGCACCATGCTTCGGCGTGTGTAGGGCTTACGGTGTGTGTCGTGGTTGCGGTGTGTGTGTGTAGTGGTTGCGGTGTGTGTGTGTGTGTAGTGGTTACGGTGTGTGTGTGTCGTGGTTACGGTGTGTGTGTGTCGTGGTTACGGTGTGTGTGTGTGTAGTGGTTACGGTGTGTGTGTGTAGTGGTTATGGTGTGTAGGGGTTACTGTGTATGTAGGGGTTACGGAGCCTTCGCTCCGTGTTTTCAATCAAAGGCAGCGACGCGCGCTCACACGGCTATTCCCCAGCGAGCGGACACGGGCCTCGACTGCCAAACACGCGGCTCGCTCGCTCGGCCCGCTCGACCGCTTGCTCATCCCCGCTCACCCCTCTCGCCTTCTCATCCCGCTCGCCCGCTTGCTCACCCCGCTCGCCCCGCCTCACCCCTTTCGCCCGTTGGCCTCGCTCGTCCCCCTCGCCCTGCTTACCCCGCAGGACGCGGTGCTCGCCGACCGGGCCAGTGGCGGCAGCGGGAGGGGTTAATGGCGTTTGGGAGGGGGGGGGGGCGCTAACGACATGCATGGGCTGTGGCAACTCTGCAGCGGCTGACATGGAGCTAATGCAGAGTGTCGACACGCCTTGGCAAGCACAGGCAGCCCCAAGACACGTGGCGTGTGTGTTTAATGTGTGGTGTGTGGTGTGTGCGATGTGGTTAATGTGTAGTGTGTGTGAATGTGTGTTGTTTATGGGGAGCGGTAGTGTAGCGGGTAGCGCGCTGTGCTACGAACCTGGTGACCCGAGTTCGATTCCAGCTCAAGGCCAACACCGGTGACGATTATCTGAACCGGTCCTGAGCCTCCCCTAGCTCGACTCGGCCTGAAATTAGTAGCTGGTGCGGTGTGTAGTAAACATCGCCACTTGGGAGACAAAGGCGGCCGGGCGTGGTGTTGGCCACCCACCCCCTCGTGTGCCGTGCCGGCCTTCATAGGTGCTCGCTAACAACACTTGCCCCAACAGTCTGTGAATGCTATACGGGGGATCTTTTTTTTCTCTCTGCGTATGGTTCTATATTTATCACGTGGTTTAGTGGTAGCTTAATTGAAGGTGGAGGGGTTGCCAGCCCCTCGCAACTATCCAGAGCCCCCGGTAGGAGGCTGCTAGACTTTTGTGCAACCCATGGCCTTGTAATTACCAACACGCTGTTCCGGCATCGGCGCATCCACACAACATCATGGATGCATGCCGGGTCCAAGCAAGAACATCTGCTGGGCTATATAGTGATGGAACAGCAGATGCGAGCCCATGTCCTTGACAATCAGGACCTACCGTGGAGCTGATCTGTCCACTAACCATCGATTTGTCATCTGTAAGATGCGCCTGCCATTCTTTCACCCCGATGGTGGGTGTCCATCCAGGACCCCATTCAAAACCCATAGTGGTCTGGTCTCAGCTAGCTGATGAAAATTGCAAGCGAAAATTATTTCATCATCGCTTGCAGCTGGGGTTGGCATCGTCCTCCCCCCTCCTCCTCCTAATGCTGAGGGGAAATGGCAGAGGTTTAGGACTGTGGCTCATGCAGCTGCAATGGCAGCTTTGGGTACGCGGTTCAAACCTCCCCAGAGACCCTGGCTGACAGAGGAGGTGTTCTGGCTAGCTGACAAAAAGCGACAGGACCACTCACCGTCTACAGCATCCCACGTCAGAGAATGAGGAGGCTTACCACAGCCTTCGCTCGGAGGTTCGGAGAGCCATGCGGCGCTGCAAGGATGGGTGGTGGTCGCGGGTTGCTGAGGAGATGGAGTCTGCCTCAGTAACCCGCAAGCACAAATCGCTCTTTAGCTCCATCAAAAAAGTAACTTTCAGCGCTAGACCTTTCATTAGGGCAAAGAAAGGTGATCCGATCTCCGACCCCCATGAAGAGGTTTGCTGATTTGCTGAGGATTTCTGTGAGGTCTTAGGGGAGGGGAAATCCCTCGGCCTGGAAAACATCGTGGGGCAAAGTGGGGATGACCCTGCTGAGGCTGCCGTGCCTCAAATATTGGAAGAAGTAGTGACCCCCTGTGAGTGGCTAGCTGGAGTGCCATTTGTTGAAGTAAAGAAAGTGATCCAGAGTCTTAGACCAGGAAAAGTGCCGGGCAGAGATTATCTCCCAAGTGAAATGCTGAGGGAGGGTCGCATTTGTGTGCAGGC